TCTGCAGACATGGGCTGGCGTGCCGTCTCATGACAACCAAAATTTGTGGGCTGGGAGAGCTGCTGTGGTTTCCCTGCCACAGAGCGACGGGGCCGGCCCCCTCCCAACAGTTTCCTCCTCCTCACTGCCTTACTTTGTCCTGATGAGAGGAGAGGACATGTGCACGCACACACGTCCACACATCGCTCCTTTCTTTCCTCAAGGGCTGCCAAGGAGTGTATGTCAGAGCGAGGTCCTGATCCCTCCCTTTCATTCAGAAGAAGGCCCACGTTGCAAGCAAGCTATATAAAGCAGGCCCTGAAGGAGAGAAGCGTCAGGAATTATCATATACTCAGCTGTCAAAGTCATTCTCACATTTGGCCCTCCGAGCCCGGCCGTTCTGGGCTGGAGGTGGGTTGGATTTCTGCAGGGATGCGTCTCACAGCTGAAGGGGACCACCCATTTCAGCATCAGATTTATGGCCAAGCTGAAACAACAAAGCTTCATGTAACACCATAAGGTGTTTTGTTTTTTAAAAAGTGTTTGGTACGAGCCTTCATAGAGGACTGCAGTCTACTTCACGAGCTTCTGTCTACAAAAGCTGATGCCAAATATATTAGCCTCCAAGGGGCCACAAGGCTCCATATTTGCTGGACCACATCAAGTGACAGAAAACCCATTATTAAAAGAGGGAGTTATTTTCATTGCCAATAGGGTGTGATTGTCACAGCAGGAGCTTTTCTCATCTCCTGCCGAGTTGCACCTGAGCTTGTTCTGCTTTGGGAATGGTCTTTTGGACTTACGTAGAAGGGTCATCTCCCTTTGCAAGTCCGATTGCTCAGACACAAAGCTCTGCCAGAATTCTGGCCCTAATACAGCAAACCCCTCTGGCAATGTTAGAGGTTGCGAAGTTCTGCTGCAAGGCTGGGGGTGGGGTGGGGTGGGGGTGCCTGAATGTTTCACTGGTGTTAATTAGCCTGCTGGATCGGACCAAATATAAACACTGTTTTTTTCATATTTTCCCAGTTTTCTCTGCACTTTTATTATCCTAATCTAATCTATCGATGTGCTCCCCCCGACTCCTGATAGCTTTGTCCTTTTATATGTCAACACCTGCCCTCACAGTTGCCCTCCCTTTAATTATACCTCTGCTTCTCTTATACTCGAATAAACCAATACAAGCCGATTGTGATCAAAACCCCATCTTGTCTAGCCCTCCCGACTCAGCCGGAGACCCATGGGAAGGCCACAGGGAAGCAATGAGGCCAGCTTCCTCCTCCTCCTTCTACACACACTCCACCTTTCTGCTCTCCTGCACCTGCTTCCTACCCACCTCTTCTGAGAACGGTTTAGCTCAACACGTTTCTCTCCAAGCTTGTTGGGGTTAAACATACAGGCCAGAAACCTGGGCATTTCCTCCCCTACTTTCATGTGTCTCTCCCCCCATGTCAAACTCCAGATTGAAACCCAGATGGGCCAGGGAGCTCCTGGATTTCCTACCTGGGCAACAATGCCTTGTAAATGTCTGCGTAAACATGCATAGATAAGAGGCATCTCCTGCACTCCTAGGTGGTGCTTCGAGAGGGATTTGCAGGAGTGCCCTGGGAGCACCATTTTGCAACAAGGGAAGCCCGGTTGTGCCACTTCCTTGCGGGCAAAATGCTTTGAGCAAAGGCCCAAGAAACGCCCTTCCCATCTTCAAGAAACAGGGCATTTTGCTACAGTGGTTAAGTGCCACCAAGTTGAAACCAACATACTTTCGCCCTCACAGGGTTGTCAAGGTGAAGTGAGATACTTAAGGAGTGGTTTTACCAGCTCCACAACCCTAGGGAGCGTCCATGGCTGAGCAGAGATTCGAACCCAGGCCTCTTGAGTCCTAGTCTGTTACTCTGCCCACTACACCATACTGGGTACTCCTGGTGCACTTATATCTCCAAGATATGTATGGCGCTTATTGTAGTTAGCTCTTGAGTTTGCTTAAGAGGACTAGTTGGAAATGCTCCCCCAAAATATAACAGCTGATGTATTTTGGTCTGTGTTGTATTGCATGGTGGCTGAAAGGTGTGTAACAGGTACCAGCTCGTTTCTGGGCATGGCCCCAGAGATAAGATTCCCTAGAAAGCTCTTCCTGAAGCAAAGGTGGGTATCTTAAGGATCTTGTCAGACAGCAACTCCATCAGGGATATCTCAAAACACACAGACACACACTCCTACTTAGTTTAAATCAGAGGAGGTGACCCAGAGCACTGTCAGTGTCCATGGAGATCAGAAGCCACCAGCCCCAAGGGTGAGGAGTGCTGGCAGTTGCATTCCAAGCCCCCCCTTTGCCCACCCTTGGCTTAAATCCTTTCAGGAATGGCTTCCTCCTCCTTCTCCCGTAGACACTAGGTTGTGTTGTGTTGTGTGGCCTTCTGTGATGCAGGATGCCTGGAGCTCACAGATTAAAAAATCCACATACACCCAACCCTAATCTAGAGGAGCAAAGGGCTCCAGGGAAATGTTTTGCAGAATCATTACGCAACTGGTTTCCTCACAAGACCAAAAATCATTTTGCAAGGGCATCATGCAACACTGTGGATAAGTTCATCGCAATAAACTTCCTCTTTTATTGTGTGTGTGTGTGTGTGAGGGGTTATGCAGAGAAGGAATATGGGGTAATCTGTGCTACAGAAGGGAGGGTTGGCTGACATCAAGGGTCCCCGTTGACTCATGTGGGGCAGAAATGGAAAGCTCCAACTTCTTAATCAAAATACGCCTCCAAAGCAAGGACCCCTGAAGGAGAGCCCCTCCCTCTCTGGCAGAAGCCCAGGAGCCCACTCCCAGCAAAGCATCGTTTCTCCACCCTGGCACTGGCCAAGCCCCGTTTCTGTGCCAGAAAGCTCTGCCCAGGGAAACCAGGGAACAGCCCCCCCCCCCCGGGAACCAGGAACCAGGTAGTTTAGCTCACTGGTTCTTAACCTTGGGTTACTCAGGAGTTTTGGACTGCAACTCCCAGAATCCTTCACCACCAATTGTGCTGGCTGAGGTTTCTGGGAGTTGCAGTTCAAAAATATCCAAGTAACAAAGGTTAAGAACCACTGGTTTAGCTGAGAGGTTCTTGCCTCTAAAGGAAACGTCCGGCCACCCAGACTGCTAGAGCAAATCCTGCTGTATCTCAGCTGAAGTGGTATTTTGATAACGGATGCAATAATTACCCTTTCCACTAATTAACACCCATGCAATTAAAGCATTCTCTGGGAAATCCACATCTATACTTTGCTCTAATCGGGTATCAAAGAGAATGACTTTGCAACAATGCAATCAATACTCATCATTTTGCAAAAGCAGCTCCAATTAGAAGCTGAACAAGACATGTTTAATGAACAGCCCCCTCTGCCAATTAAAGCCAATTATTTCAAGGAAATAATTCAAATGGTTTTTCTCTTAAAGGTTTCTCCTTCTTCCTTTTAAGAAGAGAATAACATATTTTGTTCTCTCCCCCCCCCCATCCACAGACAATGTCCACTGGGGACAGATTTATTTATTTAATCCATGCATTGCATAATGAAGGGGAGTGTCACAACAACATGTTTCTTATAATAGTGATGCTTCTGTTTCTTAACCTTATATAACTTACTAAAACAAGGCAGAAAGGTTTTTTTGCCCCCACCCCACCCCACCCCAAGAAGTCTCGGTAATGCCAGATGGCTAAGCTGTGGCCGCAGAATTTCCCAAGCTGGCACCTGCCTGCAGAAGAAAACTAAGAGCAACCTCAGCCAGGACCAAGCCTCGGCACTGCCAGTTTGCACCTGAATCATTACTCTGCCAGAGAACAGGATGGCTTTGACCCCTACGGTCTCCAGACCTTCTTCCCAGGGGCCCCGCCGTCCACCTGGATGACGCCTGCTTACTCTTCCCCCCCCCAGATCTATGTATGTGAGGGACCTGATCTCACAAAGCTGAAAGGTCTCAGGGGACAGTGTCCACGTGGAGTAAAGGACCAAATGCTGTATCTTCACTACTTGTGCACAAGCATCACCTTCTCAAAGCTCAGAAATGTTGCCATATCCACCCTGAGTGATCCTGCAGATTCCAGGATCTTCCAGACAGCAAAGTTGAAATTCCATTTTCTACACTCAGGAGCCCTGTCTTCTTTTTGAGGTGGCTACCTCGCCTCAGGCTGAAAACGATTTATTCCCCAGACTTTCTTTTTCCAAAAAGCAGAAGAAGATTTGAAACCCTATGAATCCGGGCCATACGCTCGCTCCTTGTCACAGGTTTCGAACCTGTGTATTTTTCCAGAACTTGTTTGTGAAAAGGTGGCTGAGGGTCAGAACAACTGGCTTTGGGGGCAGCGCAGGGGGCAGCCACACTTTCTGAAAAGTTCCTGAAAAGCTATTCTCCCTGCTGCCAGCCTCCGTTGTCTGCACAACTCCTGCTGCTTATAATCAGGCTGTCAGATAAAAAGATCGCTCCATAACTGGGCAAACTTTTCAGCGCGGTGCCTCTCAGAGCCTTGACGGCAACGAGTGCCAGCAAGGTGAAGGGATAAGCCTGCCGTGCAAGCTGGGGTTTTATTTTTCCTGTTGTGAAACCAGAACATTTTTTCCCTTCCTTCACCTCTACCTTCCTCTTACAGTGTCTTCCCACCAGGCTGGAAGGGAGGCATCAGAAATCCCAGAGGCACCAAAAGTGCACGAAGTCAAAAGGAATCACAAAGACAGCGCCTAACATCCGACCGGGGACTTTTCAGAGGGACCGACTGGGCTGCCCTCTTTCGTCAGAAGGATGGTGTTTTAGTATTGAGGGCCAAGTGACAGAAGTAAAAGTTATTTTATTTCCCCCAGAAAATCTGTGCAAAAGAATATTAATGCCTGAGAACAAGCGAGAGGGTGAACTACCAGTTTTCTTCCGGAAGGTGAAAATGACATGCCTGCCCAGACATCTCCTTTTTGGCAAGTGGAAGCCCAGCCATCCTTCCTCTACCCACAAATAAAAGAGGTCCAGAGAGCCTGTGATAACTCGGGAGGAGCTCCCCTTACCTGTTGTACCGTTTGCTCGCCTGTGGCCTCCAGGTCCCTTTCAGCCATCCTGTTCTGTCTCCTGGAACGGGGCGAGAGCAGCAATCGGTTCTCTCTTGGATGGAGCGTCTGTTCTTCAAGGACCTGCTGAGGAAGGAGTGAGGCGTGAGGATGGAAAGCGTGGCAGCCTCAGCATCTGCGAGACTCTCACGGAGGGAGGCCCAGCAACGTCAAGGCTGAGGTCACTGCCTGTGCTCCGGGGAGAGAGATACGGGGTTGTGGCAGGCAGCGGTTTAATCCCCAGAGCTCAGCGACAGGCAGAGATAAAGCAATACTCCGCTGCTCAGAGGCTCACGCCTTTGCTGAGGAACAGAGAGGCTGCTTTGCAATAAATACACGAGGAGGAGGAGGATTGGGGCCAGAGGAGCAGGGTGGCGCTGGGAATTCCCCTGCCACCCTGCTCTGTTCCAGTGTGGATCTGGCCTTTGGGCATTCAGGGGTGACACACCAGCATCCCTGGGACTGACTTATTTCAGCTGGGTGACACTGCTTAGGGACAGCTCAGCTGCAGGCCTGGGAACGCGGGAAGGGCTGAAAAGAGCAGCTCAGTCACAGAGAGATGAGACCTATGAACTATGTGCCAAAGGTGCATCTATTTCAGCAACCTTCTCCTGATACAATTAACCCTACAACACGTTTTACTCCTGGGGATTTATGAATGCAATATATTGCTTTTATTGACTGGTATTCTATTGCATGTTTTCCTGATGGGTGTACATTGCTTCAGACCTGTAGACATCAGTGGTTCATAAATACATGCAAAATGAACTATGTAAGATGCTGGCCTTTCTTCCACAGTTACTTTTGTGAAGCGTTTGATATACAGTATTGCATAAAGGATACCCAGTTTGATATAACTGGCCTTTCTTCCACAGTTACATTTGTGAAGCATTTGATATATTGCATAAAGGATACCCAGTTTGATATATACAGGATAGAACGACAGAGGAGGACTCTGGAGACCAGGATTCAAATCCTGCTCAGCCATGGAAATTGACTGGGGGGAGTAGAGCCAGTAAAGCCACTCCTTAAATACCTCCCTTACCATGAAAGCTATAAATCAGTTCCAACGTGACAGCATGTAGCAACAACATAAGTGCTACGTGATGCTGCTTACTTCGGGCTGTTTTCTTTCTACTGATGAACAATATGGAAACTTGGGAAGTTTACAGCGCTTCCCGTCAGCTTTCCATTTTCTTCCTGTTATGGGCTGTCGCGTCATCCGCAACTTATGGCAAACCTATGAATGAGCCAACCCCAAAATATCTTGTCCTCAATTGCTCTGCTCAGCTCTTGCAAAATCAAGCCTGTGGCTTCCCTTAGGGAGTCAGTTCATCTCGTATTTGGTCTTCCTCTTTTCCTGCTGCCTTCTGCCTTTCCCAGCATGATTGTCTTTTCCAGACAATTCTGCCTTCTCATGAGGTGCCCAAAGTAGGACCCCCTCAATTTCAACCCTTTTTGCTTCCAGAGAGAGTCCAGGCAGGAGTTGACCTAGGATCTTGTGTTGGTCCATATTGTTAGGCTGACAGAAACCAAAACATGATGGTAAGAAAAAAAATCTGCTTAGTTCACTCTTTCTTCTCTTGAAGCACTCACAGTAATAGATACCGAAATTATATTAAATAAAACACCCGCACATCACCAACAGCATCCTATTTATGCTCATTTTGTGGGTGCTACGAATGCAAACGCAGAAGTGATGGGACATGATCAAGAAGAGCTCTCCCACGGAAGCCCCCATTTCCAGTTTCTGATTCCAACTAGTGCTGGGAAGCTCACAAGCCATAGGCAGCGGTTCCCTGGTTTTTATTTATAGGACTTGGTACTCCAACTTAACAATCACAAAGTTTCCATTTAGTGCTAACTTTTGCTTATATCCCATTGATCTAAGCCTGCCACCCTCGCTGGATGGGTTTAAACGAGCATTGAAGACTTGGCTCTTCCAGGAGGCTTTCCCTGAGCGTTAAGTTTTTGATATCTCAGCTTCCCTTTTATCATCCTTTTTGCCATCCTTTCATCATCCTTTTTATCATCTTCATAGCCATCTGTTTTAACTTATCCTACTAGTTATTGTACCTGTTGAATGCTTGTATTATCTTATTTTTATCATGTTTTGATATTGTGTTGTCTTGCTGTTAGCCGCCCAGAGTAGCCTGGTTGCCAGATGGTGTGGGATATAAATCCAATAAATAAATACATCGGAAACACAATCCTCCGCAATTCATTGCACTACAATGACAGACAGCCTCCAGCAAGAGAAGGAACCCCAAGCAGAAAGCTTGTTATACAGCTTGTGTTTAATAACTAGGTTCTGCCATTCCACAGTAAGATTTGCATTCTGATCTGATTATGGAATGAAGGAAATGACCCCATCAATTTTTTTTTCCCGTCTGGGTTCCCGGTTTGTCTCTCAATGTCACTGAAGTTGTTCCGGCTTAATTCCGTTTCTTATCAACCGAGGTTAGGAGAAATGTAAACACGAGTCACATAAACACGCTTATTTGCATAGGTGGTGATTCATAAGACTGCCAAAATTTCTTCGAGCTTCAAGAGCTGGCGATTATGCACCTGTAAAGGCATGGATCGTTTTCTAAACAGAGAAAACTGGACACACATGTTTGAATGCATGGAACTATATTTAACTGAGTGAGACTTTGGACTCTGAAAGGCAGGAGTGGTCTTGAGTCTTGGGCAGAGACAGGTCTCCCTGACAGTCAGCTACATGAGCTGCTGTAATGGGAGAATCTATGGGGCTGAACATGGGAACTTCTGAAGGCACACTTTCATCCATTAAAACAAGGTCCAAAGCTGATGAATCTGCTCCAGGTTTGCATCCAACTCTGAAGAGTCATCACAGGAGAGCCACCAATCGGTTCAGCACCTTGGACAGCTTCCTTAAATTTCAGGCTAAAGCCTGCAGCCGACCCCACAATCTTGGAGCCACCCACCTCCCCTGCAAAAAAGGATCTCTTAACAGCAGGCCCTATATATATATATGCACACAATCTTTTTTTGCATGCTGTGTGTTCTTTCCAACAAGTACAAGGGCACACACACACGCACACCCCTCTCACCAAGCCTTAGTTCATTCACATAGCTTCTCTTCTTGTGGATGTGTGCCAGGAGAGTGGAAAGGGTGTGTGCAGTGGGCCATGTGTGCATGCACATGGCCAGGCAGTTCATTAAGTGGGTGCCCTCTAAAGCAGATAATCAGCTCTGGATCTCATATGACAGCTCTGCTAATTCAGACCTCTCTCTCTCTCGCAACTGGCTTTATCACCATCAGAGACAAAATGGGGAGGGGTTGATGAGATGGGGGACAACCAATGACAGCAGAAAGAAGATGCAGCAGCATTGACTGCTTGGGCTTCCTGGCAACGCCCCAGCACCCCTCCCTTTCCATTCACTCTGCTGAGTACGTGATCCGAGGCACACGCACCCACGCCAGGCAATTTCCTTTCTCATGTGTGATGGAATGAGCAGTGAAAGGAAAGGGGTTTAGAGCAGTGCAGTGATGGCGCAGTATTAATTCTATCAGATTGGGATTATATATAGATCACCACGACTGCGAACCACAGCAGCTACAAGGACCAAAAAAGAGAGAGGTCATTATCCTCAAATGACCCCATGAGAGAAAACAGGTGCAGGAAGCGTGGCTGGTGTGTCACAAAGCCCCAGACACATGTGGTGGCCGTTCCGTGTGCCCACCTTGGTCTCTGCAAAAGGATGCACACTTTGTTATCTCTGCCTGCTGAAGAGTGTTGTGTGGCCTGAAAGATCCATTCTCACCCCGTGGAAGTATGGCCAAAATTTATTTAATATTAAGACAAAGATCACGGGGAAATACATGCCACAGATGACAACAAGAATCCTTGGAAGGAGATCTGTCTTAGACTGCAGTTTAGAGAGGAGGGGGAGGGAGCAAGGAAGGAAGCAAGGAAAGAAGGAAAGGAAAGAAAGGAAGGAAAAAAGGAAGGAAAGGAAAGGAAAGGAAGGAAGGAAAGAAGGAAGGAAGGAAGGAAGACAAGAAAGAAAGAAAGAAAGATTGATTGATTGATTGATTGATTCCACCTCAACCCGGCTACCTGATCTCAGGATCAAACTCAATTCATAAGCAGAGTCTTCACTGCAATTTTACCACTGTGCCATGACACCCACTTTAAGATCTCTCTCTCTCTTTTACACACACACACACACACACAGAGTTGCCAACTGCTGGACAGAATCAAGAACAGCTGATTAAACTGTGCACATTTAGTTACGCATTCTTTGTAATGAGCAGGGTTGTGTGTTCTTTTTTTTTAAAATCAAAACCTCATTGTAATTACTGGAGAGCTGGAGTTCTAATCTAATCACAAAGTGATGGCAAATTACAGTAACCTCCAATAAACCTGATAAGTGACCACGATAAAAATAATAACTAGGGAGTTTAAGAGGAAAAAATTACTTCCCTTTCAAAAGGAGAACATATAGAAGCCAGAGAATATTAATTCTGTGAGGGGGAAAAAAGGGAATCAAGGCAGAGGGCTTCTGAACCGTAAAGGAGATGAGAAAGTTGGGGAAAACCCTGCCTCTTTTCTCCAGAGGGAAATCCTATTTCCACACATTTCAAGTGTGACATCCGAATCATGAGATTTGCAGACCACCTGTTTCTTTAGAAACCTACACAATTTTAAGCTCTGACGACACCATCTAGAACAGGATGGAATGAGGAACCCTGTCACCAAACTGGCTTCTCCACTCTGGAGGCAGACCTTGCAGCCCCGAGAAGCTTCTTGGATCTAGAAGTGTTCATCTCACCAACAACAGAGCCCGAACTGGAGGCCAGTCCTGGGCCGGAGGTGGTGTATCTGTGGACCAGCTGAATCCATTCCCCCTTCCATGAGTCCTTAGGCTGCATCCATCTGCCCAGGGGTCTAGTCAATGGGAAAAAAAACCCCATAAAGATCTGTTGGGGAAACCACTATAATCCCAGCTTTAAAAATCAGTAAATCATTGTTCTTGAATGCCACCAGTGTTGGAGCACTTGCCAACTCCCGAGGTAACTGGTTTTCAATAAATAAATGGATCTCCAACCTTTCAAAACATTCCCAAGTTGGCATACAACAAATTAAACTTACTGTAAAAAGTTATGTTAAAGCTAGCCTGGAAATTCCAACCCAGAAGCCATTTAAGCCCCCCTTTGAAGGATCTGTGGGTGAGGGACCCTAAAATATTTTCCTAGAAACTTACTATGTGTTTATTATCTTCGCCACAAGC